TAGAACTGCACTAGATTGTAGAGTCAGATTATATGCAAAGAAAACCTGGTTTATTTGTTATTACTTAACATATTACATAAAATTTTGGATGAGTTACACACTCAACTTAGTAGATATACCTGAAAGAAATCCTAAGTTGTCCAATTGGGATATTATATGAAAACACATTTAAAACTTAAAGCTTCACGGGATGCTGATTAGGGACAAAGAAGGTAGGTTTGAAAGTAAGAGCATACATGCCCCCCAACAGCCAAGGAATCAGATGGTTCAACCCTGGCACTCTGCCTTGGGGATCACTTTTGGGGAGAATCAGATCTCCTATCCCTTTCTCCAGCGTTCTTCCCTTGAACTATCATCCCCCTGAATCAAGCCTCAAGCCGGCGGTGATTTTCATGAAGGGGAGATAAAAGTATCCCTTTGGAATTTCCAACTCAAACTGGAGCTCTTGCAAAATGCAGACATAAACTTGGTTAATCTGCCTCTCTCTTCCTGTGGCTGTGCTGGGTTTGCCTGCAATATCTTACAACTTTCAAATGGCAGTAAGATTCACATTTCATCACAAAACAGTTTTTATTTTGAAACCATTTAAGAAAGCAGTTTTATTTGGTGCTAGGTCAGATATTCAGAAAAACTCTCCAGGCAAATCCAAACAGTATCATTGATATAAGAGATGCAGTAAGTGACTACTATTCACTATCTATCTCCTTACAGTGGTAGATTTAAAACTCTGAAGAACTATAAATAAAGATAACATTACTAGAAAAGACAACCAATGAAACATATGAGAGTATTAAAAAAAAGCTCTCTTTCTATATGGAGTACCCAATTCTAAGTTTACTTTTAAAACACTATTCTCTCCACTTTAAAAATTTTATGTCATAATTGCTGTACTTTGGAGATACATTCATTTCCCAGAATGGTCATGGCTATTTTGCCAGAATGTGAAATATTCTAAAGGACAGTGATTGTTTTCTACAGAATGGTTTGAGTTTCAGAATTTTTTTGAGACTTTTTTTTTTTTTTTTTTAGTTTAGTTGAATAGTTCGGCAGACTTGGAATTATTGAGTCTCACGAAGAGTGACTGTGAAGTGTGATTTTAACCATTCCTCTTCCCTTCATTTCCTCTGACATATGCCTTATGGGTACTAATGTACCGCCCCCCTTTACATACACACATATTCTATATCTATATCCTGGTAGAAGGAGGATGAAAAGAAAGAGCTGGGTAAGTTGAATAGCCAGGAGAGACGTAGACTATATCTGGTCTAGTAGAAGTATATAGCCTAAATTTAAGTTTATAAATAATGGTAATAGGTACTCTGGGTTTGCACGTTGTACTCGTCAGAGGCTATGATATCTGTAACTTCCTCTCACTTCCCATGACAGCTCTGTAAAGTAGGCAGAACATGCACAGGGGAAGGGGGAAAACTCACCTGGAGCCACACGGACTGGGCTTTAAGAGTTGTCTTTGCTATGTTCTGTCATGGCACTCAACTTGCTCAGTCTCATTTTTTTTCATCACTTTGATGGCGATATTCTTACCTACCTCAAAAAGAATAAAATTCCTCACAGTTCAGTATGTGTACATGTGATGTGTCTTGATGATGATGTAGTTTGAGGGTATAACTTGATAGAAATTCCCCATGAAACCAGAGATGGAACTCAGGGGGCCTGAGGACTTCATCCAGGGCCTCCTCCCAGGAGTTCCCTTTTACTTCATTTAGATGCAAATCAAGCCATAATCTGGACGTTCCTATTTAGAGTATCCTCAACTCTGTTTTGATTTTCTTTTTTTTGTATTGATTTTTTAATCAAATGGAATTTTTCTTCTTTTCTACTATAGTGTTTAAACACATGATGTTTTATACACATTTCCATTCAAAATATATTCATTGGCTATTGACTACTGCTTGTGAGCTGTAGCATAGGTTTTACAGAGGATACAAAGTTGTGAAAGACTAAGACTCATTCTTCAACATGATTGCCACTCAGTAGAAAAATACCTAAATTTAGATAGATAGCATGAGCCAAAGCATGAAATATTGCAGCTAACATTTATTTAGCACATTCTTTAGGCCAAGCAGTATGTTTTACTTGACATATATCACCTTTTAAATAATTCTATGAGGTCAGTGCTATAGTTGTCTACATTTTATAGATAAGGAAACTGAGGCGTAGAGAGGTACTAGTTGGGTATTTTATGCTCTCAAAATAATGGGCCACAATTTTCCAAAGTATTTCTAGACTTAATGGTTCAAGATAAGCAGTAATCTTCTATGAGGTTTCAGAGAAAATGAAGGAAATTCATGGTATTTACAGAATGCAAATGTATCATTCTAGAACATAAACAAAGATGGTATCACAGGGTGGCACCTGTGGCTCAGTGGGCAGGGCACCAGCCCCATATACTAAGGGTTCAAACCTCGCCCTGACCAAACCGCAACCAAAAAATAGCTGGCATTGTGGCGGG